CTTGAGTCGAAAATATTGACCACTAACACTAAAAATATTTTTGATAAAAATAAATGATTTTCATCATTTCGTAAACCATCAGCCCAAAAACCGTAACACATAAAGATTGCTGCAAAAATCATAAAATGGTTTAAAATAACCTGAAACCCTAAACAGCCTGTAATAATATACTTAATTTGAGAAGAAAACATAAGAAAAGTGACAAAAGGAAATTTTTTGACGAGGATAAACATGAATCTTAGAGATAAGGAAAGGTCTGAAAAAATAGAAAGAAGATAAGGTCGAATCTACGAGAAATTGGGAAAATGACTGACCTAAGGATAACATATAAACAAGGGTCAAGACTCGAGACAGAAGAGAAGAGGAAAATTCGTTCATGTTCTCTTAGACTCTACACACTCTGCATCACGATTTAGCTTTAGGGAATTTAACTCTAGATGGTTTTGAGTATTCTAGAGAGCAAGTTATTCCTTTTTCTACTATGCTTTGCTGTTGTATTGATGTGTTGTTTGTACCAGATTTACTAGACGAACTTTGTGAAAGTAATTCGGTCTCTTGTATAGAACCTTGTATACTGAACTAAATTTATGGGTGGGCACAAGCCGAGTACTCGGTATTTTCGATATACTTAGTACTCGGTTTGGCTTGTACGAATAGTAAATGTTTTGACTTGTACTTGGTTTGTTAAAACGGAGTACTTGCAGTTTCAAGTACTTATAAAAAATTGATGGACTTGTAAGTTACTTGGCTTGTTTTATTACTTGTTACTTGTAAGTTGTAAGGATTTAAAGTTAAATAAATTTATTATATAAATAATATGTTATTGTTTTCTTGTATTTAAATCATTCGAAAAATAGACTATGTGAGAAAGAGAAAATTTCAAGATGTTTATATATAATATAATGGTTATATTTTATGTACTTATAAAGATAGAAACATAATCATGGTATTGGAGATACGCGAAGTTCGCCATACTCCTTTTGCATAATTACAGTAAAATAAATAAATGCTTTTTGGTTACACCAAACCACAACGTCGACAAAGGGAATCTCTCACAACATGTCTCCTTTTAAATTTTCTCCGGTGGCCAGATATTTAGCAAAAAATTTCCAAAGAAAATGTTTTATTTTCGGAGGTGCTTTTGTTTTCCAGAGCTTCTCTTTTAAACCTACATGCCGATATGTTGGCTTAATAATCTCGTGGTCAGGTAGATGTGTAGCAACCCAGTAACCAGACTTTACTGTGTATAAACCAGTTTCATTATAGTACCAACCTAATAAGTCTTGTCGTGCTACAGAACTTATCTTTAGCTTCATAATTTTTCCAACTTATCTAGTAAGTTGGTAATTCATAGTGTAGATTGTGTACAAATATGTATACTAATTTGTTTTCTTTATACTATTTATGCATGAAGTAAACAATTATTTACATGTGGAAGCAATTATCATCGACAAAAACATGGTTGGGTCATAAGAGCAAGTACATCAATGAACCCCCTCTTGGGGTTCATATGATTTTTTTATTAATTTTATGATGGACCATGAATAGTGATGAACCCGGATCAATTGTGTTCCTCTATCAATGAATCTGAAGTCAGGGTTCATAGAAATAAAATAATATATTTTTTGAAAATTAAAATAATCTTAAATTTTTTTGAAAGTTATTATTCAAAGTTATATAGCATATTGATAGCATTTTCAACTAATTAGCTGTTGCATAAAATATTCAACAAAGGTTTTGATATTTTGTCTCAAGCAAGAAAACATGTTAAAAAAAGCTAACATGTCATACCGAAGATGCGTGGTTTGTGTTTAGTATAGCATTGACTTCAGCATGACAAACATATCTACAAACTTTGCACCTCCATCTCTACATGATATGTCACATGAAAGCAATACAATGATCATATAAGAGGTCTCTGGCTTCTATAGCATTTTAAAAATGAAATTAAGCTATTTGAAGTTTCGACAGAAAAAGGCAAACTTTCTGCACATTCCCTATCAAATTCAGCAGCTAAATCCTTAAAACCTTAACAGCTTCTTGAGTAACTAAACAGGAAAAGAAAAACTCCATGGAAGGGAACAAATTGACAAAAACCAAAAGTGTGTGTAGGAGGAAGTACTGAAACAGGAACCACATATACAGGTTTCAAAAACTCCATGGAAGGGAACAAATTGACAAAACCAAAAGTGTGTGTAGGAGGATTAGAATTAGAGGCCATACCAAAGAGAAGGGTCAGTGATCAACAACAAAAAGCTGCAACGGGAAAACAAAAGACGTTTCAAAAAAAACAAAAGCAGAGGAAGAAGGAATAAGAGAGAAAGAGAGCTTCAAGACAACTACGCCATAGGTCATATAAGCACTTTAAAACCTCAGGAAGAGTTTGAGACAGCTAACGTTTCTTTAAGAACAAGGCCTAAGGTCAAACAAAATGATCACATAACTTAAATTTC